CCCCAAAACCCCAAAACCCCAAAACCCCGAAAAGTGAAATTTATAGAAAATTATTGAAGAATGATTAAAAGATAAAATAAATAACTAAAAATATATTATAAAAATAGCATGAAAAAGAGAGTACTCGCATTTAACAATACTATAAGGGACTCGTAAATAGCCATGACATATGCTCGAGATGACTATGATACTAGAGCTCTTGACTAGTTCGCTATGACTCTTAAGCCAGATGAAGATGAAGGACAGATCACTGACGTTTTATCAATACAAAAGTAGGCTTAATTGCAAGAGGCATAGGCAGCAAGAATGAGCTAAGCTGAAAGGAAAGAAACTATAAAAGTGATTCTCTAAAAATAAAGAGGACCAAGAGATCCAAAAAATGCCTCAGGAGCAAGGAAAGTTGACTTTAAATATGATGAAATGCTTGAGTTAAAAAAGAAATTAAACAAAGTCTTGAAGAATAAAGGAGCTTACAATAACTTTGACTACTTTCAGTAGGAGCAAACTAAATTAGAAGAAAAATAAAAGGAAAATTAGAAAAAGGATTAAAAGATTTCCAAGTATTAGCTTAAAAAAAATAAGGGAATATTGGTTGAAGATATTTCTTAAGATTCTGACAAACCGATAAAGAATCCAATTAATGAAGATGATGACGAAGCTATGTATGAATTTGAATTTCAATTAAGGATGCTGAAGAGAGATAGAAGAGACTCTGAAAGAATTGTTAATAATATCTCTCGGCACTCTTCTAGACCCTTAAGTCAAAACTTACTTGATCAAGACATCAAAAATAACAGTTAGCAGACGGAAAGAAGAGGAAGTCGAAGAATATCTACATTTGGGAATAAAAAGATCAGAGGAAATAATAAAGATCTAGATTTTTTGGATTCAAAAGAGGATCTTTAAGAAGGCAATTAGAATATAAAATTAATTGAAATAACTCAAGAGGACTTAGATGAAAATAGCGCAACTTAGCAAATAAAAATTAAATTAAATGAAAATAAGTACTCAAAAACTGCTGCTTAATTTTTCAATCAGAGAAAAAGTGATAATAATCTCAGTAGATAAGGCAGGTTATCATTACCAGGAACTAGTGGAGCTTAATGAGTTGATAAAAAAGCCTTTATTACTGGTTTAAGTTCAACTTTGAGTTCAAGAGATTCAAAATTAAATATAATGCATAAAAGAGTCTAAAGCTAAAATTATGTCCCTAAAATTGACTTTGCAAAGACAAGACAATGTGATCATGTGATTAAGATACTAGAGAAAGAGGAAGCTTAGCGTTTATACAATTTCGATGAACAATAATTTGAGCCTGAAGTGATACCAGTGATAAAAGCAATGAACCTGTTTATGAAGCCTAAGGATACCTAAGTTAAGAAATTTCTCCCCTAATGCTGTAGAGATACTCTCATGATTTAGTAACTTTAAATTGATGAAAACTTCTTTTAAAATGAAAGAAGCACTAGAGTTTCAGTGGCTAAAATTAAAAGATCGCAAGGATGGAGAACGACTTGAAAGAATTCAGAATCTCCAAATGGATTATAAACCCCAAAACTTACTCATCGAGGTTCTATGGGAAAAGTAGCAAATGTGAGAATTAGGTAATTTGTTATTGAAAATGAGGATAAAAATGCTATTGCAACTTAAAATCTCTATGCAAAGTTGATTATGAGATATGATTAGGATTTATTGAGCAATCCTCACATGCAGGTTAAAATTATTATAAGTGAGTTAAGAATGCTAAAAAATAAAGCATCACAACTTAAGAATTTACTAAATGCTAGAAGGTACGATGTACCCAGAGTTTTTAGTTATCTTCAAAAAGGATACTAAGTTAACTTTAACACAAAATTTGAGAGTATCACGGCTTTGCTTATTAATATCTCTACTGTACTACTTCAGGAATTTGCTAAAGATCCTTCTGGAATAGGCATTCCAGAAATAAGTTATGTAACTGAAGATATAAGCTAAATTGAAGATGAAACATAAGCATTTCTAGAGGATTTAGATGTTTACATTTTGGTATTAAAATACTTTAGTGTTGCAACTGATGTTTACATTATACTATCTTGCGATTTCGAGAGAGATTTACCTACTCTATCTTAAATTACAAATATGGTACGCCAAATGGCTAAGGCTAGATACTTGTGCTCTGAAGTGATGTCTATATACAAAGAGCTATCAAATTGTTATGATAAAAAAATTGAAAGAATTTAGGTATTGTAGGATCAAGTAGAAAATAAGGACTCTTTACGAATGACTTATCATTAGCTTTCAACTCGAGTAGATCATCATGTAAGAGTATACTTATCACCTGCATAGAAAGAGGAGATCGAGCGGAAGAAAATAGATTCTTAAAATAGAACTCCAGTCTAGTAAAAATCTAATCCTAATTCAAAATCCCCTAAAAATTTAAGAAAAGCAATTGAAAGTATGAAAAAGAAAAAAGAATTAGATACTAGGAGAGAGAATTTCTTACAAATTCAAATTGAAAAAAACAAATAAAGAAAGAACTCATTGCTTAAAAGGCTATAAGAGGAAATGGGTAGATTCAAATTGGACATTGAGGAGGCTTTTGGTTAAGATAGAAAACTATGCAAGAAAAATATAACCTAAAGAACTAAATATCTTATAGAGAAATTTTAGTCAAAGAAGCAAAAAAAGGATAAAGACTTTTACACTAAGATCTTGAGAAGTGCAAGGGATTAAGCATAAGCTGTTAGACTTGACTATGAAATAGATGAAGATAAGAAAAAAAATAATGCAATCGCGGAGGAAAGTAAATACTATGAGGCTTTACATAAGTTAAAGTTTGATGCGAACTCTAATAGCATGCTGAATTGTAATAATTAGGCATTGAATAAAATGAAGTATAATATAATGCATGGGAACAAAGGAATTGAAAAAGCAATGAGTACAGCTAGTAAAATATGTAGAAGTAATTTACTTAAAGTTGGTCTGCAATACTTGTAAGATGATATTGACAAACAGAAGAAGGAAATAAGTAAGAAGAAAATGCTTTGAAATAAATACATTATGAATAATAATATCCAACTATTCACTTAATTTAATAAGAATAATTTATATGAATCTTTTCGTCTAGGGGTTTTGGGGTTTTGGGG